TTTGTTTCTTTACCTCGTCCAGAAGTTCTTTATTTCTTTGTAACAGATCAGGTAATTCTTTCATAGAATTTTCTAAAGCTTGAATTCCACCTGCATCTTTTACATGTTGAGCTTTTTCTAACAGAGACTGAGGCAATTCAGTTCCGCTTGTATCTTCGATAGCAGCTGGTAAATTTAAACTTGCCAATACGCTAAAAACACAATTATCAGACGTCGAATAAAAGTTAGTATTTAACTAAATTTGTACACGTGATCATCGTACCCGTTTAGGATCTGTGTCGTTTCACGTAATTTAGATATTTCCGAGTTAACCAATTCGTTACGCCGAACTTCGTAAGATGATAACGCTTGATGCACGCCAACAGGTAATAAATCAACAAAAAGATCTGAAAACACGAAATGCGTGTAAAGTACAATTTGCTTTAAATTTATCGTCATTATACGACGAACCTTTAAAATTGGAGCTAAAGACTTCAGGCATTGGTATCAATTTTGCAACGCTAGCTTTTCCAACTGGTTCCAAAGATTTTATATCGGGTATTCTTTCGTGATAAATAAAGTTATTATCCTTTTTTACTTCTGTTAGATTTCTTTGAGCTCTGTTGGCACAATCTTGGAATAAGTGAGATTTATTCGAACGTTGTTGAGCGGCTTTAAACAATTCTGCGGCATGCTAAAAATATTTATTTCAATTAATTCTAACTTATCGTCGTATTTGTATGTTTGACGCATTTTCAACTTTCAAGATTTACCTCTAATCTAGCAATTTCTTCTCCGATCGATTTGTTATTTTTGCATACCAACGACTGATAAAATTCAGTCATTGCCCGATATCCAGCTTGTTTTCCTGCAATCTATTACTATCACGTTACGAACAATCATTTGATATATGTTTCATATAAATTTCATACGTAAAAGTTACGAATCTATACCAGAGGAACCCATTCTTTATCCCAAAATGCCCTAAAAATCTCCTTTTGAAATAATTTCAATGCATCTGCGTATAATTCTTCTGCCTGTGCAGCTAGTTTAGCAATAATCCCATCTTTCATAGCATCGTGAATTGCCTTATGTACAAATATTTCTTGAGCCTGAGCAAGCATTAACGCGGATAGTGCTCCTAACGTTTCTGGACTAATATCTGGCGTTGGTTCTTGTTGAATAGCCATCATAACGTTCGTTTTAAGATAATTGAAGGTACCAGCAGATTGCTAAAATTTACGTAACATTTAAGTAATTTTTTTTATTCAGATATTTCTCTAACTTTTCAATTTTGTCGTCATATTTAATCGATAAGATCAGAATGTTTACTTGAAATAACTTTGCAGCCAGTTTTAATCCTTCGTCGCTGTCTAAAGATTGTGCCGCTGCGACTGAACTTTGCAAGGCAGCGATATTAAATAACACGCATACTTTTTCATATGCTAATGTACTAATTGCTGAAAAGTCAAATATCATCTTAAATACCATTAAGGGAATACTATCAAAAATATAACTCAAAATATTCGTGTAATCCATGATAGGTTTATCTTATCTCTGTACCTATTCATGATCAATCGAGAATCAACGAATAATCTATATCGAGTGAATAATAAAAAAATATGTTCGAAATACTTACTCAAACTGAGTTTGCCACCAAATATGGTACGATCGAATGCATCTTTCCACTTAAATGGAATTTGTAACTCATGTGCGGGTATTTTGCTTTCCAGTGCACATAATTGATCATAGTAACTGGTGAAAAAGAAAGAAAAAAATACTCTTGATTTAAAAAGATCGCTATTTGGAATCGCTAAATTTTTATCAGTTATTAATAATATTATTTCATTACGTTATAAACGATCGTATCTTTTAACAATCTATTGAAATTACCTCGAAAATACAAACTTAATAAAACGCTACTTATCTCTGATCTTAGGTCACTTTCAAAAATTCTTTTATCGAAATATTTCACTTTACAACTTTACAAAGTAGATTACAATAGTACGATACAATAGCACTTCTTAATACTGTCACGATTAAAATTAAAATAATAATTAGAGATGAGTCATACCTGTATATAACCTCCAAGGAACTTTCGTATTTCTCAAAAGCTCGCCACAAAGCATTGTTTCTCAGTTTACTGAAATCCGCGATTGCTTCCGTGTAATCTTTTTGATTACTTGCGTTGCTGTACGTTGATTTAATAACATTTGTAAGTGGTTTAATCACATCAACGTCAGACGGTTTCTTCAACGGTATCGCAATTAGCTCAGCCATTTTGACGTGTGACTGAAATCGAACCGAATGCTACGTACTTATATCTGAGATATTACGCGTATCCAATACTACGACATATGATATCTTTGCGGTACATGGTATGCCATTCCGGTTCTAAAGTTTTTTAGTCGTAAGAATATCGCAAATTTAAAAACAACAGGTTTTTAGGTTTATCGTGATTTTTATTCGTCAGATGTAACGCGCTCTTCTATTTCTTTGGAAACTAAACCGTCTAAATTATTAAATTTCTCGTCGTGATTTTTATTTTTCTCTTTAAAAACGCAATATTTCTTTCTCTCTTTCTCCCTCTACCTCTCTCTCACTCTCGACAAAAGTACTATAGTGATGTAATTTTGATTTACGACAAGAGTGCGCAAAGAATAACCAAATCGTTCGATCTAAGATTTTAAAAATAAGTTTTTAAATACACGTGCAAGATTCACGTGACATTGACACGATATATTTCACTACGTGTTCGTAAAATTTCACACCGATTTAACTTTCGCGCAAGAGCATAGAAAGTAACATCGAATTGTTCGTAATTTATTTTGAAATTATTGGAACAATTCGCGCCTCGCGGACGCGTGTTTTCTTTAATTGTGAACTAGATCGCGTATGTCGCTGATTGTCGTACGTTATCTGCGTCATCTTCAGATATTTGTAGATGAAATTTTCATAAGTGGTTTGGCGAAGCTTTAATTTTGTTCCGTTGTGTCTGATCCGTATAAATCGAGGTAACAATAAATATATTATAAAAAAAAAAAACGGCAAAGAATCATACTGTGCGACAAATATTTTACGTTACGGTGTAAAGCAAAGCGTATGAAATTATCACCTGTGTTCAAATTTCCTCGAGACGTGTATGATGTAGTGACGTTCTTTTAAAAATTAAAAAATATTAAAATGTTAAAAAAGTAATACGAATGTGTTGCAACTGTGTTGTTTGTCCCATTTTGAAATTTTATTCCCGTCGGTTAACTCGCGTGGAAAGAATACTCGAATCGATTTCATCGTAAAGACAATGAACCAAGAAATCAGGGTTATTTTCTTTTTTTGTTTGTTACAAGTATGCATAAAGATTTTAGAACCGAATAATATTATCGTTGTCTTAACTATCGTTGGTACAATTCCAATTGTTCTTAATTGGAAATACGTATGTGCGTTTGTGTAATTGCAAATGTGGCCGTATACGACAGATATAAACGTATCTGATGAATTATTAATAATTATAAATAATTCGTGATTGTTCGTTCTT